CCAACAATCGAAAGTGGAAAGTTAAGGTGATTGTAGTTGAAAAACAATTACCAAAGCCTTCGAAACAAGGCAATGGAAGGTACCAGCATTTGATGTTAATGGATACTCAGGTAACTTTTCTTCATACATTTTTTCTTCAGTTCTTTTTGTTTTTTGTTTTGTTTTTTTCTTAATCTAAGATAACGTATATTACAGTTATTTATAAGGTTTCTCATCATTTTTCAGGGTAATACTATTCAGGCTCGCTTATATGATTCCAATATCACTGCTTTTGAGGACAACTTGTTTTGGGAAAAACTTATACTATTTCGAAAGCTTATATGAAGAACAATACGACAAACTATAGATATTCGACTGGCTCTTTACAATGGACAGTATCTGGAGAAACTCGTATTGAAGAACTGAATGAAGATAATCTAGAGTTTGTATTCTCAACATATCAACTGACACAGTTTCATGAACTCGAACAATACATGGATACAGATGCTGATTTAAGTAAGACAAAATTTCATAGACTATAAATAATCATAGACTGATTCTACAGAAATATAGTTTCCTTCAAATTTGTACTACTTGTATTCTGAAAAAAAGAAAATTTGATTGCTCATTTTAAATTTCCAGATATACTTGCAATTGCAGGTGATATGACGCCCAAACGATTGATTCAATCCAAAGATGGCAGCCAAACTTGGTTGCAAGATATTATACTTCTAGACATAAATTTCAAAACAATGGTGCTTACACTTTGGGATTCATTTGTTGACAGAGAATGCTTACTCATAGCAAACATTATTGACAAAAAACTAGTCATCTTTGCAACCCGTTTAAAGGTTACATCATTTTTTGGTATGTTCTATTGTATTATTTAAACTCCTCTTAAGGCATATGTTACATCTTTTATACATTCTCCATATTGATATTATATAGGTTTAAAATTGTCCAGGAAAGTCCGTTCCACTTTCTTCATAAATACACCTTTCAACGTAGTAAAACAAATAACAGAATGGTATGTACAAAATGCTATATTTTATTATTCTCTTTTTTTTCTTTCCTCTTGGTTATTTTTCCACACATTACTATTGGAATTACTAATTATCTTCATGTCTTTTGATTAGGGTAAGAACAAATTCCATTAAAATAGATGATTTTATATTGAAAAAATCATACATGGACAAAAGCCCCACAAATCTTTCTCCACATGTGCAAAGTAAATTCACTCCTATTCAAAATCTTCAGGAGTGCCTTCTAGCGATAATGTTAAGGTTACGTGTGTTATTCAATCAGCTTGTATTTATTTCCTAATGTAAAGATATATATTACAAGATATACTCAATCATATTATTTATTTTTCCTCGTAATTTCTCTAGGTATATCCATACTGGTAACAGCGAAAGTTTTATTGGGTAAACAACACAGCAACAACAGAGAAAATTGATAGCAAATCTTGGTAAATGGCCTGCAACAACTACTTTAGACGATTGAATGTTGATTTTGGTGAAACATATATTTGTATTTTTTGCAAGAATCCCAATTCCAAAGCTATTCCTCAGTAAAATATACTAACAATTAATTACTTTTCATTTTTTACTTCATTTAGTGCAGGTAAAATATTTACTTATGCATGACCTTTCTACTTCCCTTTATTACTCTTCCATCTACTAATACTAATTTCTTATTCACTTTAGGGTTAGAGCATATGTGCAGCTTTTAGATATCACAGGATCACTCAATGCAAATGCAGTTGGTGAACCAGCTGAGAAACTATTATTTACAACTTTACAGTCTCTGATGGAGGAAACCAAATTTGCAAGAAATCCAACCTAACTCAAACATTTTGCTATTCAATACATATTTTACTCGACTAATATTAATACAATTTAAAATTTACACACAGAGTTCAAAGACAAACTTTGAAGCAATCATTAAAAAAATGCATGATACTGAACAAGTTTTCTACTTAAAAGCATTGCAAAATGAACCTAATTCATCAAGTTACAGATTTGATATCATCTCTGTAACAGACTTAGACCATGCAAGTCCAGGACAAAAAATCCAAACAAATATTGACCACACAAGTCTTGAACCAAAAATCCAAACAAAGGTTGACAGTCAAGTTGTGGCTACAGCAGTTGGGAAAAATGTTAATACAGACTATTAAAAAGATTGGTCACTTCCAACGAAAAAAGCCCTTTTCAAATCTTCCAATGACAGTTTCAGTTTGAAAGTGGCTTGTGATGAAAACATAAGTTCAGACACAAATCCATTTGCTCAAAAAGAAAAACTGGAATAAATGGTGGTTGAAATCTTTTCTGTGAAACCAACCTTCTGACAAGAGCACACTGTTTCGTTTTGTGAAATTTGTCTTCTTTGTAAATTTGGTCTTGGAATTCTAATTTGTTAAGTACGTGTAATTTCCTGATAAGAAGTTGCCAAACAAAAAATTAATGACAAATGATATATATAGAATGTAATCCCTACATTGTCCATGCCAAAAATCAGTTATTATTTAGTTTATCTTGGCTATACTTTGTAATTAACGATGGTAAAGAAGTTAATTTTTATTCTTTCTTATCTATCATTGACTGTAATCCAAACACATGATTAATTACGATGAATTTACAAATCACAATCAAGCACATCAATATGTATACTATTATCTCAATTATTTGCTGGTTAGTTCCTTACCAATAATTCCATCTTCCCATATATTTTCAAACGTATTCAATACATACGCTAACCAAACCATAATTCATGCATAGCTCGTGCATCACACGTAGCATAGACTAGTATTCATGGAAAAAGATAAATTCGATCAATAAGCGTTGTGAGAGAGAAAGACATCTCATCTCTGAACAAATTTACAGTTACGTGCAATTTCCGATTGTGGCATTAACTGATTAAACAACACAGTATGTACATGGTTTACGACAACTAAAACTAAAATTGCATGAGAACTTGAAATCTTAAAGCCTAAACCATAAACAAGTTAAAGCCCACAGAAATCCATGCAAACTCCATTGCGGTTCTTGTTAGCACAAATCTGCACAAGTTCCTGCACAACCTCATCAATCTCTTCATCACCTTCGAACTTGATCTTCTCACTCATTACTCTTGCATTCTTCCGAATGGATTCTCCGCCATTCTTGACCACCACCTCCTCCCTCTGAAGGTCTCCAAATAGATTTCGCACCACCTTCTATCAACCTAGCATTGAGTGGCTGAGCAAGGTGCATTTTATAAAGGGAAAATTACATTCGAGGTACCAAACCTTTCGTTTATTAGCAAACTTAACCCAAACCTTTCATTGTACCACCGGAGGTACCAAGCCTTTAAAAAATTCACATCTGGAGTCCAAATTGACAAAAATCATTAGTTTGACTATTATTGACCAAAAATCAAAGGCCTGACCAATTGTTGACTGATTTTTAAAGGGGCAAATGTTTAACTTCGAATTAAAATAAAAAAAGAAAAAGAAAAACCAAAAAGCAACAATTCATCTTCTCCTCCCTGCACCCACCCTCATACCCCACCTCCCCCTGAACCCAACCAAAAGAAACCCACCACCACACCCTATGGTATAAATCAAATTATACACAAAATAATTATAAAAGTAATTTCTATTTCTCTTTTCATTTTCAGAAATTCCTTTACAAATTTCGAAGAAAAAGAAAACAGTATTAAAGAAATTTCTTCTCCACCAACCCACACGAGAATTTGGTCATTCTGTAAGCCTTTCAAGATCCATTTTCACCTAACACCCACCTCCATCTACAACATATCAATCTTATAAATGTCATTACACATACACAAGTAAACAATTTGTGAGCGTTGAAGAAGAAGAGTAGGACGAGGAAATGGTGGGTCTTACTCGTCCGCAGTTTGTTTGTTCAGGTCATCCGTTGTTCAAATGTTGTACGACGTTGGTAGCTGGGGTGCTATTCTTACTGATCTTTATTCCCGCAAGGTATGCTTTTCGTTGGGTTCAGGCAGACGTGGGATATAAGGGTGGATGCAAGGAAGAGAAGATGAACATTTGCTTTTTGATTTTGTTTTTTAATTTTATACATTTGCCTCTTTAAAAATCAATCAACAATTGGTCAGGTTTTTTTATTTTTGGTCAATAACAATCAAACTAACAGTTTCTGTCAATTTGGAGTTCGGGTGTAAATTTTTTAAAGGTTTGATACCTCTGGTGGCACAAGAGTCAAGTCTACTAATAAACAAAAAGTTTGATACTTCGACGACAATTTTCCCTTTTATAAATGTATGATATAAATAATGGAGATCAAACAAAGGCAAAATTTGTGCAAACTGACGATGTTATCCTTTAAGTTGAATTAAAAAGAAAAAAACAAAAGGAATGGCAAAAAAAAAAAATTGTTACATGCACATCACAACTAACATAATGAATTGATATCACATGACACTTTATCATTTGCCAATTAAAAACACAATTAGTTTTTTCATTCAATATTTTCCCTCCACGTAATTTAAAATACATTATGTACATTTTCTATGTACAAATAGCAAAATCCATTCTACTTCCTTGGCATTTCGTAGCAGTTCATGCACTAAAAAGTTACATACTCGCCATGTTCAATTTTTAAATAAAAATATAAAAGTAACCAATTGAAATTATCTTCAAAAATAGTTTTTTATTTACTAATAAAATTCATTACTAATTAAATGTGTTAACAGTACAAAAACTTTTATAAAAGATTAGGCTTCCATTTGGTCCCCATTAATTTCTTTTCCATTACATTTCATTTTTTATCTCTTATTTTCAATCACATAATATTCCATAAAATAATATTACACGTAAATTAAAAACTTTTCATTATTTTTCAATCACTCAATTTTCAAAATAACATTATCCCACCCATTTTCATTTTCAAACTGAACCAGAAATCTGAAAAATAATATTATACGTAATTAATTATAATTTCAATAAAAATATGAAAATGAAAAGTAAATCTTGAAAAGCAATTAATTCCAAAATAGAAACTGGACAACGGGTAACCCTTTCCTTTCAAAAATGCTAAAGGCACGTCACATTGTACCTAAGGGTATCCATAATGGACACCCGGCGCCTTGCCATTGTCGCCTAACCTATGGGCCCCTGCATGCGTCAGGCGCCCCCTGCGTGCGTCAGGCGCCTCGCCAATGACGAGGCGTCGGGTGTCCATAAGGTTGGGGTGATGTACCCCTAGAAGAACTAATTTCCTTTTTCTAGTCCAACATAGTCATCACACCACGAATATCCAAAAAACCTGTCTACATTACTTAAGAGCTAAGAATAACATCGATGTGCAACTGCTTCCATCCAGAAATAGTACATATTACATGATTTTGTGTAAGTTATCGTGTCTGCTCATCTTATGACAACCAAAGCTTAGGGGTCAATGATTCTCGGCCACCAGCAGAGCCTCGACTTGCAAGCTCTTGAATTCGCGAAGAGAATTCTTCAGCCTGTTACAGTTCTAAAGGTTAGCAAAGATAGACAAGGAATAGTTCAGTATGCACAAAAGCTATAGCCTTCACTCATGATTATCATTTGAATTACAAATCAGAAATATCTCGTTGGATAAAATTCAAAGGTCTAAATGCTACAAGGGAAATATTGGTTGGAAATAAATGTTAAAAGAGGGGCTGAAAAGCATCTGGGGATATGATCTTAGAATAGATGAATACTGACTGGCATTCTCAGATCAAGAGCTTAAGACACCCTGATGCACCCAAAATGATTCCAAAATACTAAAGATCTAGATAAAAATAAATAAATACTAACAAACAATACTTCACACAAATTATTATAACATTCAAAATACTGATGAAGCTCAAAGTGCCACTAGGACTCTCTTTGCCTCTTCGGCTAGATTGCAATGATGTTTAGGATCAATATTAATTAATCCTCACTCTCTTCTTTGAGAAAACATAATCAGTATTACAAGCCTTCATTTAGATTCCATCCAACAGAAAGACTGCCTTATTTCTTCCTAAGAGAAAGCAAACATGTTCACTCTCAACGGTTGGCCGCATCTCTACTCGTGTGGATCATTTCAGTGTTTAGATTGAACTGATTATAACTTTTAATCTGGAACTTTTGATTCAAAACAACAGTGATTTATTTTCATCATGTTGTAAGTCACTGTCCGCTATGTCCACGAAAAGGCCAAAGCAACTGCAGCATCCAAGAATGAATATGAATTAAATATAGATCCTAACCTTCTCATCCACCCACAGCAATGAACTCAATTGGTTGTTTAAGACACGAACAACAATATCCAGTGGAGTCATCCCATCAGTTGCCTCAAGCTCTCCACCCTGATAGAAATGTCAAAACCCATTATCAACTTTTGATCTCAATAAACAAGAACCAAAAGTATTCACATTAAGTAGTAACCTGATTGGAATTAAGAGTATTAATGATCGATTTGATCTGTTCAGTCATGTGCTCCAGCTCCATCTCTATCAATTCAGCCTGCTCATACCTGAATTCCGAAGACAAGAAATTAGTTGATCACATAGAAAAAGTAGTAAACGTATTGCCATTCACTTTCAAACATATTAAGAGATGACATGACACAGAGCTACCCATCAAACAGTTGCAGCAGGAATCTGCTTCCCAGTGATTTAAGAGTTCATCACAAAATAAAACTGCATATTGTTCTAACAACTATCACCAATATATATTTTCAGAGAATAATATTGTATTCAAAGGCTGATGATGTAAATATATTGAGATTATGATCACAAAATATTACAATTTGCGATTATAATCACAAAATATTACAATCTCCAAGATATTCTAAAGATTTTTTTTGCAAATGAAATAGTACAGGTGACCATGTACCCAAAAAAGAAGAAGACAACAATCATCTGTTAAAGGATATCAACAACAAAAAAGGTTAATCAGCAAAGTGGATCCTGTGCTCACATTGCGTCTCTTGTCGACGCAGCTTCGTCCTCAAGAAGTGATCCTTGCTCATCTTTGTATATTCGCTCTGCTTCGTCTTCCATACTATGCAAGGCTTTGTCGACCTAACCAAGAAATGCAAACACAATCATTGATGAAGCTCGTTAAAACAGCATATGTTAACACTTTCAAGTTTTAACATCACGATATAATGTACATAACATAAAACACCATTGGAACTGGCAATACGGGGTAAGATGATTAATAACTAAAATATGCTAGCACACCGTTGAGATCGGTTTTCCTAGTTCGTTGTAGACATTCTCTCTAATTAAGGCAAGGCATTGAAAATCTTCATTCTACAATTTTTAGATAATATTATTGTATTAGATCTTTATCATAATTTCACGTGAACACTACAGTCCAATTAACAATTTATAGCCAAAGAAAGTAATTGATGAATCGCATACTGTAAGCAAAAAAAAAAAGATAAAATAAAATAAAAATTAACAGCTTGTTTGAGCCCCATTATTTAGAAAAAATGCATTCTTCTACGGTATTTTAATATCATTTCAACCATACATTCTTCAATAAAATAATATTACACGTAAATCCAAAATTTTTCCTTATTTTTTAACCATACATTTCCCATCAATACACTTCAAAAATTCCTTGCTCAAACAAGGGCTAAAAAAATTAAAAATTAAAATCAAAATCAAAACATTGTAAAAATAAATTAAAGTTGTAGCACACATGACCCAATAAGTTGAACTCAGATTCAAAGGTCATAATTAACACACCTCATCTTGATGAGTTTCAATTAGCTCCAGCTGCCGCTCCAAACTACCTTGCGTCTCAACCACTTTAGCAACTTCACTCTGATCAAGAATTTAAACATAATAATGTCAGTTAGCCTTCTGTAATAAATTTTGGTAACAGAGCCAAAGAAACCATAAAACAAACCTGAACATCAAAGACACACAGAAATTGCCATTTTTAAAAGTTTTAAACAGAAATTTGATACAAAGACCCAGAATTCAGTCTTGACATATTATTTATTGGTGATGGTTTCATAAAAATGTTGATAGGTCCTGATTCTGTCTTGATTTGTATACTACTTCCAAATGAAGCTTTCATTTGCTAATGGAAAATAAAAGAAAAATATGTACTTACATACATATACACCTTTACAAACAAGAGATAGTTGCTATAGAATAGCCCTAGCTCCTTGGGTGATAATAAAAGAACTGTTAATTGGTTTGTCTAACCAATCCTGCAACGTAGACACAACTAACTAAAAGCCATAAACGGAAGTTAGGACATTCAAAACAAAGAAACTATCATGCAATACATATAATGAACATGAATGAACATGACCAGGCTGTAGAAGTGGAATCTTAGACAGATAATATGCTCCCAAAAAAATAAATAAAAGAAATGGGGGAGATACAGAAAAGGGACGCCTCGTATGCACACACCCAACAAATTAGCAAGCCTACAACCCCATCAACATAAAAGAAATTATATTTTTACTATTTTCAATAAGTAATGTGATACCTCAAGCTGTAGAAGTATGTCGCGATTCCTTAAAATCTTGAGGTCCCACTCAGCTATTGCATTCGCCTGTTTTCGAAATTTTCCAGTACGCTCTTGTAGCTCAGCATTCCAGTCCTTGATGATCTGCCATAATGTACTCACATAAATACAGTTCAGACTGACAATAAAGAAATGTATAGCACTGGTATAAGGAAGACTTAAACTTCAGCATTATCTAGAATCAGATATTCTGCTCATGTTATATTACATGAGAAAAAATATCAAAAACACGATATAGAGAAAATGAGGGCAGGGTTATTTCTGAAGTTGATACATTACTTTCCAGGTCAGCCCTTTTGCTTTTTCTTAATACTGGCACAATTTACCTCACGTTTTCTGTTTCTACTTAAATGTTCATTCATTTAAGGATATATAGAGGGTTGAGAAGTAAATTCAATCATCATTCAACGAGGAAACTGTAAATATACAACATACAGATTCCAATTTCTGCAGGCAAGTTTAATTACCTCTTCAACAGTTTTCCCAGTGATTTCAGATGGTAACTTCGGTGCAGAAGCTACTGCAGTTGAAGTGGTCCTACAAGGCAAGCAAAGAGTTAGCACTCTAAACCTCAACTTCTGATACAGAAAAGAACATGGTCAATCTTATTTATCAAATGAATCTTCAAGTAACTATAAAGACGAACTACCAGAATTATTAAGCATGTCTTTTCTATTTGTTATACTATCCCGACAAGAGAATGTTTTAGATATTTTGTTTCAACTATTAACAAGAGTTGGATAAAATGGAGAATTGATAGAAGGATTCCATGAGATTCAAAGATCCCTATAAGGTCAGTTCTACAACAGTTACTAGAATTACTAAACCCTATTTAACTCAGTATTGAGCTATTAATGGAAAAAATTCAACAAGATAAATGAGGAGGAAATAAGGATGTTAAGATTGATACATAGCCATTCTAGAATAGATACGATTAAAAAAATGAGAATATAGGCCAACAATTGAAACAACTGGATGTAGCACCAATTGATAGTAAATTAAAGGGGATGACAGCTTTGGTAGTGGAGTCATGTCTTGCACAAAGAAAAAGAAACTCCCATTGGCTCGGGTCGGGGCAGGACAAAGGATATCCCAATTATGATCCCTATGTGGATTGTATCGAATCTATATCTCAGACTGACTTCAGTGTGGCGCTAGTATTCGCTAAGGAATTCTTCTGGTGCTATCTAACCGTCTCTAGTTTATGGTTACATGACCTTGCATGGTTCCAAAGGATCTAACTGTATAGGATCTTCGAATAGATGTGAATCTATGGATAAGCATAAAAGAATTATTGTAGCCAAATCCGAACTTTCAGGGATAAGCATTGGCTTACTGTTGTTTATGCTGTTTTTTCCCACTATGGACTAAGGGAAATGTGTCTCATTAATTGCAATTCTAGGCACAAAGGTGCTCAGGGAAAGCAGTTTCTAACTATCTACCCTTCCATCTTTGTTTTTGAGAAGGAAACCAAATGCTAGCGCCCAGTGTCTAATCTCCACATAATACGATCCCATGCTAGAAATCATGAACCAGCACAAACAATAACTTTATACATCATTATAAATCAAAATCCTCATATTTCAACCCTTTTTGGGCTCCATTAAAAATACATTCTGGGAAAAAATGTATTTTCGAATAGTAATATTTTGAAGAATATGTGGTTAAAAAATAAGGGAAAAATTTGGGCTTACGTGATATTATTTTGTTAGATATTGTGTAGTTGAAAATAAGAAAGAGAAAAATGTATTTTTGGAGAATGGAGTTAAAACAAGGGCTTAGTTTCTACCAAAAGATATAAGAAAATTTATACATTGGGTGGCATACATACCCACTGCTGGAAGCTGGAACCAGGGATGAAGATATTTGAGCAGCAGAACTGGAACTTGAGGTTGTTGCAGTTGCAGAACTTGAAGCAGGGACACCTAAAGAAATATTAGCAGAAAATTCATCAACCACCTATAATAGTATTCTCATAAAACCAGGAACATTAGAGAAAAAGAAGAGAACGATGCCTCAAGACTCTACGAGCCTAAATGGCAAAACAAAAAATTAGAACGTGATCATGATTTATAAGATAAGATTAGCAACACCAAGAAAGTAATAGAAAAAACTATCAAGCTCACAATCAGCATTTTATACAGATAGTCAGTCAAGCACTTTCGCGAAAAGGAGAAGCTTAAAAAGATTAGAAGTAACTTAAAAGTGCAACTTGTCTGCATTTCCATAACCATAAGAATATTAAGAGCATGTATGGTTGAGCTTAAAAGTTCTTCGATTAAGTAGTTCCTTCAAAAAAGTGAGTTTTGTTAGTTTAAAAAGCGACTTGGAAAAGCATGTTTGGCAAAATAAGTACTTGTAAGAGCCCCATTATTTGGTTTAGAATGCATTTTGAAATAGTGGATTGATGGAGAATATGTAGATAAAAAATAAGAAAAAGTTATGAATTTGTGTGTAATATTATTTTATTAAAGAATGTGTGGTTAAAAATAGGGAGGGGGAGAGAAAAAAATGTATTTTGAAATTAATGGGAATCAAACAAAGGCAAAATAAACATGCTCTGAGTTGCTTGAGCTAAATATCCGATACTATTTGACACCAATAATTTTCTGTTTTGCCTATGATAACCCATCTTTAGGAATTGGGTACTTTACGTTCTACAGAAAATATGAGAAGACACACCACTGTCAATTATCGCCTTCTTTGTTAACATGGTCTTGTCCAAAATATGGAGTCTTCACACCTTCATATTAAAATTTTACTTTGGGTTAAATTTATTTCATACACCAAGATTCATAACCCAAAGTAAGACACCCTGGAAGAAGCATAATTTTCAAGTAGGCAAGACTTAAAATAGCTACTTCATCGAACGACCAGAGGAATTTGTCTTGCAAGATTAAAAGGCACAAAGACAGATTTCAAAATCTATTCAAGTGCATAAAAAATATAGTGTCATCCATAAAACTTGAAGACGCTGATAGAGTATATCCCTGAAATGCTACAATTACAATCTCACAAGGACATGTATATCAATTAATAAGAAATTCATACTCACTCCAACATAATACTTCAAACTAAGCTATTGTAGACAGTTGTTACCAATTTTAAGGACCGTGCGAAAAATTTGTTGAAGATCGCTTCATTGCAACTTACAATTACCATAATCATTATGGGAAAGTCTATATTATATACCCCCGTTTGGTAGCAATTTTCCACCCAAAAAAATAATTTTTTGATCATTATTTCACTATTTCAGCCATCATTTTTTACTTCTTCACTCGCGAGTACGACCCACTTCTCTCTCTAACGGTCAAAAAATTCAATTCTCATAATCACTATCGAACAGCCCTATATGTCATGCAAAATGTTGTACTATGCCATTGGCACACAGGTTTGACAATGGTACAAGCCAATGCCAAATTAGTCAACTTACAACAAAGGATCCACGATCCATACCCATGTTCTAGTTTCGATTGTCTAATACAGGCACTTGAGCTTACCAGAAGAGCCAAGTTAGTAGCCTTTGATGCAATTTAAGATGGGGTGTTTCATTGCAATAACTATCTACCCTCCCACACATAACACAATAAATTGGCAAATATAAAATATATCTCTTTTTATTGCATTTCATAGGACCTAAGGTGTCCACAATACGACTATACAGTTCACTAACTTCAGCCACCAGCTAAAGAAAAATGGTCTTTGGCCCTTATTGGTACCTTAATGATAGAATCATCTTGGAGAGAGAATATTCTGCAGAGATACTCATGCACATGGAGAGGATTAAGGAAGCTAGCCTCCCGAATGTAGCGTGGCCTAAACCCTTCCATAAAAAAATTCAGATTCTTGTGAATTTTCGGAAGGATTATCATCATCATCCTTGTTAACAGTTTCTTAAATGTATTTGAAGACTTCATGACTTCATTAGCAGCTGTATAACAGGCAACACTTCTGGTATAGGACAATGCAAGTCGTGTTAGAACTTAGAATCAACTTGGTCTTCCTATTTTGCTAGTTATCAAGATTACACAATTACTAGTTCACTTAATTTGCTGATTGGTAAACTTTTAGACCTTTAAGAGTAAGTTAATAGTATTTATTAAGAGACTGTTTTCTTCTTCTTCTAAGAGATGATTAATAGTTAATTTGTAGTCTATTAGGAGATCACTTCTCGCCCTTGTTTGAGCCCCATTCTTGTAAAAAATGCATTTTTTAATAGCGTATTGATAGAAAATGTGTTGTTAAAAAATAAAGAAAAGTCATAAATTTGCGTGCAATATTATTTTTTTGAAAAATATGTGATTAAAGTGGGTCAAATCACCGTTGAAAAATGAATTTTGATGAAAAAATGGGGCTCAAACAAGGGCTTCTTCTTTAAATGCCAAACAAAAGAGGGGTATGCATGTTCTACAATCAATATATTCTACATGTTCAATTACCAATCGTAT